TATTGTCTCCCTGATATGCATAATACCCAATTGGTACGGTACGAGAATGAAATTGAGATCCCACACCTCCAGTTTCATCCTGGTGCGATGTACCATCATCCTGGTCATTTCCAGTTGTAGGATTTTGGAATTCTGAAGATAAAACTGAACTCATCTGACCCTGGAAAACAAATCACCACCTTGCAATTTCAGAGTTTTATTTACATAACTTGACTCGCACAGAAAACACGACAGAGTTGCCCCAGTTGCAGCATATGGAGATCATGTTCCAGTAATCAACAGAATGGAATATGTATGAGTACATGTTAGCAGATCAAAAGGAGATGAAATTGAGAAAAGGAAAAAACACTGCTATATAATCATCAGTTTACAAATGTAATCATAGGAAATGGCAGTCATCTATGGAGTCATTGTAGCAAACCACCTGAATGTCTAGCTGTTTGCTAAAATCAACATTCACGATTTAAATAAAAGAGAAGGCATATAATATACATTCCTCCAAGCGACTAAATCCAAGTGTAATATTTGACATGATCAACTAGGGTATAATACCCTAGTACAAGTGCTAAACCACATCTTCAGAAAGGTATCCCAGTCAAATAATCTAATAACTATTCTCAGATATTCCAAACATCCACCTATTGACATGATCGCATGCACTTTTCCTCCATGCCTCTTTACATGAATTAATTAATCCCCCCACAAGATGGGGAAATGTGTGAGGTTTGGCAAGTGATGTATGTGCATTCAATCAAAAAAACCATCAAGGTGAAGCACTATGTTATTAAAATAAAATAAAAAATAAAAAAAAAAATTGAGCCAACAATGGGATAAATAGAAGATCAGATTGGAAAGAAAATAAGCTGACAACATAATCAAGGAAAGTCGAAGCATGGTGATAAAATCATCTGAGTCAAAGAGATTACAGTGTAAGTGTTCCATCCTGGGACAGATACCATTCCTTGAGGCATAACCAGCTGTGCATAACTTGAAGGGCTTTGCCACCGTGGACTGGCTATAAAAGAAGCTCTCGATAAAGGATATGACAGCTGGCTGTTTGTTGGAGAATGAATAGCAGGATATACAGCAGAACCACGTAAAGAAACAATCATATTCGATGGCTGAGGATGATGGAATTTACAAGTGCTTCCAAATTTGCATATCCCATTTTTCAAATAATATGCACATTCAGTTTCATCCTGTTCACAAGGAGGAAAAAAGTAGAACTAAATTACAATGTGCAGATTTACCAAAATGAAAAATGACATAATTAAATGATTTTCTTGGTGGATCTAACTCAAATAATAAAAACACCCTGCAACCCAGATTTAAGAGCTTAACAATGTGTTTCCTTAGTGGTTCACATGATTAGTTCCTTATACAGTCGGGGGAAGATGTGCCGAGCAATAACTCTTGCACCCTATGTCGATTGGACCATAAATCAGTGGGCAATAGAACACTGTTCTTGTACAAATTGCTTTATGTCATGCAGTAGACTAAATCATCATTTTCCTGTGTAGCTACCTGGCTCTCACAATAGTGAAGCTGCTATACTCTTTCACGACTAAGTGTGTGTGTCTTAAGATGTACTCAGAAAGTTTCTGAGAAAGCTACTGCTCATGAACATCACACAATTACTAATGGCCAATGTAACACCCCGACTATTTTTAGCATTTATGGAGCTCGACTTTATTTCCATAAATAACAAGTTTCTTTATTTGATGCATTTATTTATTTATTATTATTATTATTTCCATTAAATTGAGTAATAAATTCCAAGTCTAAGCCATGGAGGATCCGTTCGATTTTTAATTTCCAAAACTCGAATTTAGTTAGCCCAAGTATCTTTTAGGATCAAACTCAAAACCCAGTTCTCCATCAAGCCCAACATACAAGCCCAAAAGGGGTTCCATTCTAAAACCAATTGACAATAAAAGGAGTAGCCCACCAAGCTTATATATTGGACTTGAAACCTTTAATTTTTCGATGTGGGATTGGGTTTGCACACCTTACAGTATTGGTCTTATTTTTAAGATAAAACTGAGTCCAACAATTATCCACGCGGCGCATTTTAAATCGAGCCCATTAATTCGACCCTTTAATCGAGCCCATCATTTTTTATCTATTCAGGTGACGGAGTCTCGCGTGGCGCGTGAGCTGATAGGTGGTGGTGGTCAAGCTTCAGGATATTTTCTTATAGCATGTCATGTAGTATTATAATTGAACATGTTTGAATTATTTATGTTTGTTGATGCTAGTTTGTGATTTTTGAACTTGTATTTGCTTCTGCATTCCAAAATTGTATTTCAGATTTTAGACTTGTATTTTAGATTTTAGACTTTTAGACTATGCATGTTTAAATCCAATATTTTTTCATGGCCTTAATTCTAGAATGAATTTTACCTGCTTGCATGCGTGATAGTTTAAAATAGATATAGAGATAAAGATTAAAGTTGAGTAGCATCCAGCAAGAAATAGAGTTTTTAGAAAGAGATAAAGTGTTTTCGAAATTTATATAAGTGTTTTCCAAAGTTAAAACGCGAAAAATTTAGTCTGATTTTAGTAATATTAGGCGGGGTGTTACAGTCAACATTCTAAACATAGTCAATGCAATAACTATCTCATGTTCTAATGTAGTTGGGCAACTTATAAAGTGAAAAAATTTGTAATAATTGATCACAACTAGACATGGCCAAGGGCCGCCCAGCCCGCCGACCCGGCACGACGCGGCCCGGCCAAACCCGTTGACCACGAGTCCAGGCCCGGACTGGATTTCCGAAGGGTCGTGTTAGGGTCATCCATTTAATGACCCGTTTTTATTTTATTTTATATTTTTTAATTGTTTTTTAAAAAATGACGGACCCGGCCCGGTCAACCGGGCCATTGACCCGGCACGAGTATAGGTCCGTGCCGGGTCCGTGCCATTGTTTTTGAGCCCGGCGACCCGGCGGGCCGGGCTGGGCGGGTTTTGGCCTTGTCTAATCACAACTTTAAAACAGACGATAAAACCTAAGTGGCATGCAAAGAAAAGGTGAGATAACTGAGATGGAGATAAATTGAGCAAACCGGGCGAAGAGGGTATCCCAAAACATTTAAGGCAACTCTTCCAGCAATCCCGGCTTTGTCTTTAGGATGATGAAACTTGCAAGTGACTCCGTATTTGCAGGTCCCCGTTTTTAAGTAATACTAGAAAAAAGAGTTCATAATGTTCAGATGAACAGTCGCTATTAAATTATTCTTTTGTGAATTTAAGTGGCAAAAACAAAAATGATACAACATGCAGAATCCTCCGACCATAATATGATATAAGAAATTGCAAATTAACTGCAACATACAAAACCAAAAACTTAAATTTGGTACCCTCTAACTAAAATTAGTATATAAACCCTTCTTAGAAAGAATTTATGCTTTTTAATCAGTCTCATAGAATCTTTGGCGACTTGTACGTTAATGTGCATGCCTTCACCCAGGAAAATGCATGCCCAGTAATCCGGGGAATCGGACACCAATTTAGGTCGCCAATGCAATATTGACTGTGTAAATTCTATTAACAGGTTTTGCGACATGATGTAATATTAGATAGTGAAGCCCAGAACTTTAAATGAAGCTGCAAAATTAATCTCTAGAACAGAACTTCCCATGGCAAGCCAACAAGCCTATGATGCATTAGAAAACACATATGTAAACCAACACGAAAGCAGATTTCACCCCTTTGGTCTTGAAAATACATAAAAGAGCAAAAGTCTATTCATCAACAGTAACTTCTAACATTTCTTAATGGAAGAGAAAAATGGCATCTACACTAATGATTATCTCTTCGCTTAAAGATATGGTTTCTACTTTCTTGTTCTTTTGGTCCAATCAATCTTACTAAAAAACTAATATTTCATCTACATTATCTTAAAGTCAAATTTCTTCAAAACTTTCGACATGGCATCAGCTTGTCACAATGACCAGGCTGATAATATAACCAAAGAATTGTCTACTTAGAGTTTCAAGAGATAACTGGCAGGGCAAACTTTTCCAGGTTTTCAGGATCACTGACATTGGGATGGAGTCCGCTGACTAGCTTATAAGGAGTGATGAATATAAGATTAAGGTATTATGTTGTGTATAAGAGTTTCGAATACTAGAGGGCTGCTTTGATTGTTTCCAAAATCTAGCATATGTTCTTCAATTAGTTAGATCTCCAAGTGTATCCTCCATATATGTAGATGAAGTTGTCACTATTCATTGAATATATTATCAAAAGCTTCAAGTACATATGTAGTTGTGATGGCTGGCAAACAGAGACAAATGCATAATGAGTGCAGACCTGACATTCAGGTTGTCCTATTCTTTCTGGATACTCGCCTTTCACCCTTGCCGTGGCAATAGCCTACACATGACAGTTAAGAAAGTTTATCGTGTAAGGTTTATGGACAAAAAACATAAAAAGTTATTAAACAGTCTGAAGCCGTTCACAGGCCAAAGTATGTTGATGGAATCTAGTTCAGTTTTGGTTCAAACTCATACCAGTTTCCTGTTAGGAGGGTGGTTAAATCTACATGTTGTCCCAAATCTGCATAGACCTGTTCGAATGTAATACGAACAATCCGGTTCGCCTTCACGTACTGGATAAGGTCCAGATTCCATTTGTTCCCTTGATCTCATGCTCATATGCCATAAAGCATCTGATAATATTCGATAGCATCAGTTTAAAAGATCCACCGGGAAATTAAAGTAAACTAAATGCCGTCCTAGAATAAAGCTATCATTTAGTAAGCAATCTAGAAGAAGAGTGTCCACGTTGCAGTTAGCATCACATTCTCAAGAAAAAAGTTGATATTACAGTTGAAATGAACATGAACTGAGGTTTGGTAGTGCATATAACTGAGATTTGGATCATCCATATTTCTCGAACCTGTTTACCCTTGTTTACGTGCATATTTGACATGAAGAAAATAATCACAGAAACTTCTCACCTACATGATGGGAGTAATAGAGAAGAGAATGATGTTCAAAACCATTAATTTCCTTAGATTGGAACAGAAAAAGAAGTGTTAAGCTTTGCAATTTGCATTGGTGTTCAGCACTTTAAAGCGTGTAAGATTAGGAGAAGAATTTGTAAAAGGTGAAAATATCGTGGTCCGAAATCTGTACTATAAATGCATTGTGCAGGTGAAAAAATGGGTAAGGCTCATTATCTGATTATAATTGGCAACATGTGTATGAAATCAATTCCATGCTATGATTCTTCAGAAGAAAGTAAAAGAAAAATAAAACAGGAAAACCAAACGCTTCACAATAGCTTAAAAGGCAAAGACAGTATTATCTTGCATTTCAGCTTCAATGGGCAAATAAATATGAGTAAGTGAAGATAAGTTATTGGGTGTATGAAGACACAGATAAGGAAATTATATTATCATCGATATCATTTGTAAACCAAGCGGTTCAGCTGAAATATGGGGAAAAAAAAAAAGGAAGAAAAAAACCTGGCCCATAGCATTGTGAAATTTCTTAAGTTCCAGAAGATAGTTTTATTCCCTTGATCTAGAGAAATAATTTGCCAGAAAGCATTCAAAACAAACAACCGATTTCACATTGGAAACCCAGTGCAGTCTACTTTAACAATCTGCTGACAAATTTAACTGCACTATAATTGCTTCCCAAATATTTTCCTACACCTATTGGATATACATTGTCAAGCTTCTCCCGCCTCTCGTATGTCACATCTGGGACGAAGTTCTGATCTGAAAGTTCAAAATTTTCAAGGGGAACTACACATGCTTACAGAACTTAATTATGTCGAAACAAAAACTGTAAGGTGTCACTCCCTTTTTGGTTTTTTCAAACAACACAAAAATTAAACAATCAAATATTATGACTTTTGTGCCTCACTTTTAATGGCAATACAAAATATTACACCACCTTGACAGAACACAGACGAATGATGGCTTACCAATTTCTTCAGAGACAGATCGATCACCTGAAATGCACACAAACACACATATATAGACACACGCATAAGACACCATCGCACGCATATACTGAAATTCTGGACAAAGATGGCTTTATTACTTGCGTTGAGCTGAATAAAAGAAAATGAAAACAAAGTAAAGCTAGTCGAATTTTGCAGACATGAAAAACTGACAAAAAAAAAGGGACATGAATGTGACGAACACCACGATGACCGGGCAGCGCGACTTTATTAAAAAAAAGAAAAAAAAAAAGGTCGTGAAAATGAGAGATGAGGAGACCTTGATGGTGAGGATAGTGGAGATGAAGGGAGGAGGAAGCAACTGCGGTGACCGACGACGCACGCGACATTGGAATTCACCACCCACATGACATCTCCTTCGCCAAACTCCACGATCCTCAACTCACTTTTTTGATATTAATAATATACCTGCCAATTATATGTAAAACGCCAGAATATCCTGTTCATGTAAAAAGAGGAATAAAGGCCAATTATATGTAAAAAAAA